GTCCACATGTAAGACCCTAAGGGGCTCTGTCCCCAGTTGGCTCTGATTGATAAGTAAAGATGCCAGCAGCTAGTGGTTGGGCAGAATAGACAAAGGTGAGACTTGAGATTTTTCCCCAGGCTTGGGAGCAAGTGAAAAGAGGAAGAAGGAGATCGCCATGCTGGGAGAAGGAGAGGAAAGATGCCATGCCTGAGAATAGTGGGGAACAGAGAGGCAAGACTAGGCTGCTCACTTTCTCCCTCTCTCCCTATCTATTTAATATAGTACTTGAAATTCTAGCTAGAGCAATAAGAAAACTAAAGGAGGTCAGGGGAGGAATCAAATTGTAAAGGAAGAAGTCAAAGCATCGCTATTTTTAGATGATATGATAGTATATGTAAGTGACCCCAAACTTTCTACCAGAGAGCTCCTACAGCTGATAAACACCTTTAGCAAAGTGGCTAGATACAAAATTAACTCAAAGAAATCATTAGCCCTCCTTTATACAAATGGTAAATTGGCCAAGAAAGAAAGTAGGGAAACAATACCCTTTAAAATAGCCATAGATACTATAAAATATCTTGGTATAACTCTAACCAAGAAAGTGAAAGACCTATATGACAAGAACTTCAAGTCACTGAAATAAAAAAAATGAGGAAGATGGCAGAAATTGGAATGATCTCCCATGTTCATGGATAAGTAGGATTAACATGGTAAAAAGGGCCATTTTACCAAAAGCAAACTACAGATTCAATGCAATTCCCATCAAAATTTCAATACAATTATTTAGAGACCTTGACAGGGAAATTCTCAACTTCACTTGGAAAAACAAAAACTCAGGATAGCATAAACAATACTGAGCACTAAAACAACTTCTGGAGGTTATTACCATCCCTGATCTCAAGCTATATCACAAAGTAATAGTACTAAAACTGCATGGTATTTGGTATAGGAACAGACAGGTTGATTAATGTAATCAAATGAAAGGCCCAGAAATAAACCAACACATTCATGGACACTTGACTTTTGACAAAGAAGACAAAACCATACAATGGGGGAATAAAGCATGGTCTAACTGGATATCTACATGAAGAAAAATGGAAACAGATTCATATCTATAACCCTGCACAAAACTCAATTTTGAGTGGATCAAAGACCTCAACCAGATACACTAAATCTCCTAAAAGAAAAAGTGAGAAATTGCTTTGAACTCCTTGGTGCAGGAGACAACTTCCTGAACAGAACACCAATAGCTCAGGCTCTAAGATGAACAACTAATAAATGGGACCTCATGAAACTGAAAAGCTTCTGTAAGGAAAAGGATACTGTCAATAGTACAAAACAGCAGCCTAAGATTAGGAAAGAATCTTTACTACATCTGACAGAGGGCTGTTATCCAAAACTTATGAAGAACTCAAGAAATTAGATACCAACAACCCATGTAATCCAGCTAAAAAAGAGGGTACAGAGTTAAACAGCATCCAATCTCAAATGGCAAAGAACCATTTAAAGAAATATTTAAAGTCCTAAGTCATCAGGGAAATGTGAACCAAAACAACTCTGAGATTCCATCTTATACAAGTCAGAATGGCTAAGATCAAAAACTCAAGTGATAGTACCCTCTCAGAGGCAAAGAGTGGGGTGGGTGGGGAATGTGATAGAACTATGGAAGGGAGAAACCAGGAGGGACACAACATCTGGAATGTAAATAAATAAAATTATTAACTAAAAAAAAAAGCTACACAGTGAGTTACAGGGTAGGCAGGTTACCTGGAAACCCTATCTAAAACAATCCTGTCATAAAGTAGTCTCAATCAATCTACCCAGAATAACTTCTAATTATATAGTAAACGTGTACCTAGGCACTTACATTTTATTTATGACAGAAAATAGTTTCTCCATATTTTTATTTTCTATTTATAATCCTCAATTCTAACAATACAAAGAACACCTATAACCTTCATATATACTAGTCCCTTCATTGCTACACTCAACTCCTAAATTTTAGAAAGGGTATTTTAACCAGTTTAGATAACTTCATCCAACTCATGTAAATATACAACCTGCCTGCACTATATTGGACAACTGAGAAAAATGTATATAATAGAGATGTTGGCACAGGACAGAAGCTAAACAAGCAGTGTCTCTGTGACATTCAATCAACTTGATTATCTTTGAGTTTAACTAACGAGAAGTTTTAACATCAGTACATCTGCATATCGCTTATGAATTAGGATGGTGGTTACAAAGAGAGAATAATGAACAAGAAGCCTGTCATTTTGCCTGTTGACATTCTTGTTGAATCCCATGGTTACGAGTGTTATTCCTCTTGGTGACAGATCTGTGTTTACTATATGTCGACTTTGCTTTGAATTTGATATTTCATTTAATTTTTTAAAAATTTTTAAGATGATTTTGCAGGTAAAAGAAAGAAGGAAGTTTACATGTTCTGGAAAATATACTAAATGCCAAGATTCATACTAAAAAAAAAAATAAATGCATTGCTTCATTTGAAAAAAAAACATTAAAACCAAAATACTACTCTATACATTTTTTTCATTAACATCTAAATAGGGACAAGTAAAAACATGTCTCCTGTTGGTTGAGATATAAACTGACACTTGTGTATACTTGTGTATTATATAAACTTCCAGAGGACCTGGGTAATATATACCTAAAGATTTTAAAATACCTACTATAATTAAAAGTACATATTACAAAGATTAATCAGACAAATATGCAAGAGTATGTTTGTAAATGGAAACAAGAGGCATTTATAAATGATTACCCCTCAAAGTACTTGTAATTCTTAAAGGCTAAAAGCGAGTCTCTAATGGGTAATTAGCTAAATGTTGTACATCAGATACAGAAATATATATATACAGCTATGTGGAATAGCATAGACAGAGACATGTCTCATTAATCTAAAATATGTCACAAATAAAACATGCTGGTAAGGAAGGAGGACAAAACCGTGCAGAGACACACACTCGTGAGGCCTGAAGCCAAGATGTTAACTTTGAGTATCTTTGGGAAATGTTTTCCTTTTGGTCCTTGCATGTGCATTTTATTAAGATTCATTTCTAAGCTTCCTAAATAGGGGAATATGCAACAATTTAAAAGTGAAGCTTCTGTGTAAATGAATTTCCTAATAAGTGAGAAAGAGAAAATATGACAGAAACATCACCTAACATATCAGGGACAATATAAGCTTATAGTATCTGTGAGTATGCTCGCAGCACACTTCAATAAGCTACTCCAGTGACTATTTTCATGAGCATTTATGAATTTTACAAACTTCATGCTACACATCCCAAGAAGCCAACTTCAGCCAACATATAGTGTTTCCTTGGAAGATAACCACTTTACACTTGCATCCTTTCTATATCACAAAACAGCACAAAACAAGGCAAGTTTCATTTATATTACAAGCTACTGGTTCTTAAAGTTTATTTATCTATGGTCAAGCAATAATCTCAGAGAAAAGGAGCTATAATCTCCAACTGTCTATAACCGGTACTATAATTTAAATTATTTGCAGCCTCTAGATGCTATATAAAACTTAGTATAATACAGGCAAAGATTGAAAACAAGACAAAAGCATGGAAGAACCATAATAATCTGATGTCATGAACAACAAATTATCTCTCAACTCTCACTCTGTTTTACAGAGTTTTGCTAATAAGCACTTCCCACTTGAACTACATAAGTAATGATTTCCTCTAGGTCAGTAGTCTCCAGCACTGACTGCATTAACTTAAAAGAAGTAAAACCATAGCAAGTCCCTTCTAACATGTAAAAATTTTTTCCAAAACCCGATATACAATCATTACTCTCCATTTCTTAGGAAAAGGGTCAACTATACCTGTCAACCCTTTGCTTCAGTTCTGAAGGAAGTGCTAATGCAGCAAGATCTCCTACAGAGAGAACTCTTTATATCAACTTGTTCAAGAATATCCTGAATTATGGCTCATACCCTCAAACAATTACTGATAGCATCATTTTTCATTCACTAATATCCCAGGCTAGTGTACAGTCAGACTCTTGCCCATACACACAATTCATATCACAACAGCTCCAGAATTTAGAGTAAATGCTTCAAGCTTTATCCACTTCTAGCTTTGTCACTTTGCACACTGAAAGGTGTGTAGGTAAAAAATGCACAGGAGAATAAAAGATTCAAATTTCAGCAGAGGCGATCAGAGCCAGTAAGGACAGAAAACTGTTTCCAGGTGGACCACTGTTTTATGCATGGTCAAATCATAAACCTTAAAGACATAAGGTATACTTAGAAATTCAACCAAGCTATTGATACTTGTATGTTATGTCCCTCAAATGGTCCAAACAATTTCATGAAATAAAGGTAAATCTAAACTTCATCTAAGCCTTATAGTTCTATCTTGACTTCTGGTACAAACTATTTATTCTGGTACTTGAATAGAATGCTTTGTCAAAACAAACCAAAAACAAGATAAAAAACAAAACAAAGAACCCTCAAAAACCTAAACACCTTAATTACATCTTTACCAGTAATGGTGATTCTAGTAAATTTAAATATATATACACACATATGTATGCATATATATGTGTGTATACATATGTAATGTTTACTATATTTACTATATATTTATTTATAATGCAAACAAAAGCAGAAAAGCAAAGGAAAAAGAACTGTAAAAATATGATTAAATCAAAGAATTTTTATGCATATTAAAATCATTTGATGGGACTAGCTGGTTGGTTTGCAAGCAGTAATTTCTCCTTATAAAGTTCTATCTAGCAAGCATTTTTAGATTAGCATAATGAGAAATGGTCAATTAAAGTAAATGTAATAATGTGTCTAACTTGTGATATACCTATACAAAATACAAAGTATAAGAGTTCTCTTATCTCACCATGTGCATTTTTAAAAGTTTTAGAGTATATCTACAGACTTACATATATGTTTTTTCATAAAAACTTAGCATATTATATAAATTGCATATCCAGTAAAATATGATGGACAAAAGTCAGATACTCACTTGCACATCTGTTCATATCTGGGGCTCGGTGTCCATAGTATCCTGATGGGCAGGAGTGCAGGCACTCTCCATACTGACGCATCCCTTCTCTCCGAAGGAAAAAGAACAACTTCTGTTGACATCTGCTGCACCCATTGTCCTTTGAACAAGACAAACAACCCTTGCAAATGGGATTTGATACATAACTAGCTGTAACAGAGAAACACAAAACAAAAATATTTGAATGTGAATATGATTAGACATTTGGTCTATTTACCATCATGCAAAAACAGACATTTCAGATCATATATCCCAGAGGAGAACCTGCTACTGCCTGGTTTCTAACCCAATATAATTTCTGTTTTCTAAATACTCATCTTTATTCCCACAGATACTTGTAGCTCTCACCCCTTATCAAAGAAGCTTATTTTGTAACAGCTGGAGACTATTACAGAGAGACTACATGACTGTGGAGTGAGAAACCCAAATTGATACATGTGCAAGGTAATCCCTACACTTAAGGCTCAGGGAAAATCATGAAAGAGGGGGAAGAAATACTCTGAGAGGCAGAGACCAAGGATGCCTGTGGATGGATCATGTCCTCTAGATCTGCCAGAGAAAACATACTGAAAAACTTTCAACAATTTGGTTGCCTGAATAAGACCAGAAAAATTATACCAGTTGACATACCAGTGCACACAAGAGATTCCACATGGTTCTACCCCTAGATAAGAGATGTAGGGGTAGAAAAAGGTGCCTCCAGGAAAAGATTCCCATATAGGTATGCCAATTCCAAGAGGTTGGCCCTAGACACATATACATATGAACAAAGCTAATGGACCCTATAGGTAATACACACATGGGTGCATATACACATGTGAATATATATGGAACAATCATAATTAAAGAAAATATCATGAACTTGGGAAAACAGATTCCTGTGTGTTCAGAGTATAGAGAGGGAGGGTAGAAGTGTCTTAGATGTAGTAGGCATAGATGAAGTTTTGAAAGAATATATTAAAAAGAAGCTCCTGCGTTACTCACATAGAAATAGAAGCATATATCCTCGCCCTGTAGAAACATTTAAACTTTAATAGTATGAGAAAAAAATATTTTCATCTCCAGAGCTTAAAAATAAACATTTACATTTAACATGAACACAAGACTTGAAAGGAATCCAAAATTAAACTTTCAAAGTTTCTTCATTTTCAATTAGAAACACCAATAAATTAAATTTTAAGTAAATATGCACTTGCTATGACTTTAAGGTACTGCCCTCAACAGTATAGAGCAAAAATGGCTAAGCCAAGCAACAGACAAAATAAATGTATAAAATAGCAGGAGAAAAGAAGCCAAGTGTCTATGAATGGAATGAACACACTGACTGATGTTTACACTATGATTTTAACTCAACAGTTAAAATTTTAAAAACCCTTAGAGAACTGTAGGAAAGGCAGGTGTGAGGGAGACAGCAACAGGAGGATGAGAGGCATCAGAAGACATTATATACATATAAGAAATCATCAAAGAAAATATTAAATAAAAATTGCAATAAAGAAAGGATTTTAGAACACAAAAATTCTCAAGGTCTAGCCACAAGAGGAACAAAATCAATATACTGAATCTTGCTCAAAGAATCAAGCCACACAGGAAAAAAGGAATGTTCTGGAAAATGAGCAAAGATACGCTTTGGAGTAGAAATAAGAAAATGAAGGTTGAGAACTGACCTAAGAACTATGGTCGAGTTAGTTTCGATGGGCTACTGTAACAAATGTCACAGTGTAGTTTAAGTGAAAGGAACTCATTCCTAAGGTTGACTATCATGGCCCCAAGTGTCTGAGCAGAGTTCACTTGTCCTCAAGATAATTCTTTCTTCCTTCTTCATGATCTTGGTGGCCCTAGGCATTTCCTGGTTCAGTAAGTGCAGTTTCTTAGTATTCTCTTGGTTGACTGTTCCAGTATCACTGCACTTATTTTTTTTTTCTGTCCCCTATAAATATTCTATGTATATAAATATTCTATATGTATGCCATTTTTACTTTTGGTTTCATTTTTCTTTTTATTGAAAATAGCATTTTTTTCTCACATAACATATCTTAATTATGATTTCTGGCCCTGTACTCCTCCCAGTTCTATATATGTTGAAACAAGATCTCTTTATACAGCCCAAGCTGACCTGGAACTCACACAATCATCTGTTTCTATCTCCCAAGATTAAAAGGGTGTGCCACCAAGCCCAGCTTGTCTTTGCTTGTTTAATAAACAGTAGAAATATTTTATTTAGGAGATAAGGTGGGTATAAGGATAAGATGTAGGAATATGACCTAAAATTCAATATATCATAAAATTTGTTATTCCTAATTAGTTCAAGATACAAAAGATTCTCTGTACACATGCTATAAAATCTGGAGACTACACAATCTGGTATTGAATCTTTTACTTTAAAAGGACATCCTTTTGCTGAACATATATCCTTTCCTGCAGTACTAAGGAGCACACATCCATATGAGCAGATAGACACACAATACAGTGCCAGTGCACTGTTCCCAGAGTACCATCCCTTTATTTAGCATGATTCAGATTCCAGGACATTGACAACAGTGGTTGATTTATATAAATTTTAGCACTATAGGATTTACTATAACATTTGGAAAAGCATGTATTCCATTCAATTTATTGCCCTAATTCTTTAAATCTGGAATTGTAAGAACCAAGCACAGATTGGCTCGAGAGGTCATCTTTTTAGCTATAAGTAATAATGTTAGGTGAGTGGTTTTTTTCAGGTGTTCCTCCACATTCACATAGATACATACAATATATGATTCATAAGTTCTCATAAATGTGATAACATTGCATACAATGGAGCATTCCTCTAAGCATTCCAAAGCAATGATCCAGCTCAATGTCTGTAATCTGATTTCCTGGAAGCAGCTTTACCTGTGCCTCTACTTAACCCAAACCACTGAGTTATCTAAGAGAATATTCTTTCTGAAGAGTACAACCATTTCTGTCTTTCCACTTAAAACCTCCTTTGTAATTTCTGAAATCTAATGGATTTAAACAATTAACAGAACAAAGGAATATTTCTTTCAGTTCAGATCTTATATGTCTTTATAACCCCCCAACCCCACATACATCACACACATATCTTACACATTTATCTTACACACACACAATCACACACACACACACACACACACAGCATGCGTGCGCACACACAAACACAATTCTCCTAAAGCAAAAATGATGTGAGCCACACCCAATATAAATGTTCTTTACTTTTCCTAACAGCAATAGCTTCAGTTGCTAAAGTTGTCTTCCTTCTCATATTCTATGATAATCTTACAAGCTCTGCTACCCACCTGATTCTACGCTTTATTCTTAGGAGTTCTGCTAATCTCAACACTCGGAGCACTTTATTCTCTTTTGAATACTTATAGAGCTCAATTCTGCTCACTCGCTCTGAATTACATTGTTAACTGAATTGTATCACTTACGTAATCTCTCTAGTATTTCTGCTCCATAGTAACCCAACTAGAAATTGTGATTTTTTTTTTAATAAAGCAGTTCCATACAGCTTCTCTACATTCCCAGATACCTTCAGAAAACGTTTTACTCTAACATTGTTGTTGGTGTCCTTGGGCAAGTGTGAAGTTTCCACAAACTTAGAACCAGCTGAATATCTCTGTGTAAGAAAGGAAAAACAGAAATACTTCCAGTAATTGAGTAAATAATAGAGTGTGGCTAGCTAGGGAAGAGAAATAACAATGAAATAAACGGTGATGGAGTAGAAAAACTGGCTTGGAACCGGCCAGCTCCCTCATTTTCTGAGTTGTGCATGAAGAGTGTCCTCCTAAAGACCCCACCCTGTGGATTGACCTTCAGAACTCTTGTCTGAACAGCTAGGAGACTAGAGCAGGGACAAGTATTGCTGGCAGATCAGTTGCTGGCAGATGCTGTATCCAGAGCCCAGCACAGATCCCTCGGCATCCAATGCTGCCTGTCCTCTGCTCTTTGAGTTAATTACAGATTTGCAAAAGGTTATTCAAATCTCAAAGCTAGCTTTGAAGAGACAGGGAAGAATTTGTAAGGTTTATCCTCATGGAAGAATGTTTAAGAGGGTTTTCTATCCCACAGTGATCACAAACTCAAGGGAAGCTATACTTGCTTTGAGTTCAAAGGTCAAACCAAGAGCACTTTATCATCATAAATCATACTCCATAGTAAGAAGTACAGAGGAAAGGGAATTACAGAACCAAGGGAATCAACACAAATTAAAGGCTTTTTTTGTTTTGCATTTATGTATCAAAAGACTACTTTAATCTTGACCACAAAGATTTCAGAGTCAACAAATTTTGCCCTACACTTATTTTTTAAAAGGTATTCTTAAAACTGTTAGAAAACATTGCTTCAGTTTCTTGAACCTTGACAGACTTAAGCAATAAAAGTGAATAAGGGAAATGAATGCCATAGTCTATATCTTCCCATCTCTATAACCCGACCCATGAGGAATGCTTGTAAAACAGGAGTGATGTGCTACATCCAAACCTAAGACTTCCACCTGGCATGGGTTCTAGTACTGTTCAGTACCAAAGATCAAGAGCAAAATAAGTTTTGCCAGTTGAATCTCTTGCCCCACTCCTCCAGCAAACTTCTCAGTTTAACTGACCTTCATTACACGTCAATTATCTCTACACACTCCTCTGTATGATGAACCAATACTCCAAGAGTCATTCAACTGGAATATTCCCATCTATTGTGTATGGTAACTACCCTTACTATATATTCAAACACAGGCAAAACAGATACTTAGACATGACTATTTTATCAAGGTCATAAGTCAAATGGTTCTGCCTATTTCTGTGAGATTTAATTCAAATGTGCAGGTGGATAAACAGTTCTTAATTCTCAGCTTTGATGACCATGTTTATTTGTTTTTTCCTGTAAGCTTCAACTTCTCCAACCTCAAAGCCCGCTGAGATCCAGAGCCTTGTACTTCCAACCAAAACATGGTCCCAAATCCAGACCCACCCAAGACTGGAAAGATGAAACTCCTCACATGAAACATGGAGAACACTGAAAAAGGCAGTGGTGATTCTGCATGAGGCCAACCACATCTCCTGGATATGTTTGGATCAAGGAGCAATACTACATTGCTGGTTCTTGTACCATGAGAAAAGGCAGCATCCTTAGAACTTGATCATAATTCG